TGAAGAAAATGTTAGAATGTAAAAAGTTTTTCTTTTTCATTCTTTCTTTATATAGAAATCGCTACATAAGACTTCACCGACGTTAAGATAAATTATTTGTTGGATTTCGAAATATAAAATGTTCGATTAACTCTTTTCAAAAAATCCTTTTGATTTTTTGCTCAAATTGGAAAATCCTTCACTACTTGGCAAACCGAAAACGATATTTACCTAAACCGAATGCGTTTAGGAAATAACGGTTCTGGTTTTTACCAAAGCTAGAAAACTCTTCGACTCTTTCTGAAAAACTTTGTTTACTTTTTGGTCAAACAGAAAAGCCCTTTTGGTTTTTAAATACGCTTTTTGCAGTTTAGAGTGATAAAAAAGTCCTTACTTGCCAAGGGCTTTCACAAAGTACTTCTTAGAATAAAAGCAAGTATTTTCATCACTGAGAAGTACTTCTGAAAGTATATGACAAGTGAGAAATTTTGAAAACACTTGTCAATTTTTCTAAGTAGCAAGTAATCAAGTACGTTCTCTAGGGTGAGTCCGTCAGATATTATTTCTGCATTTTGCTTAGTTCAAAATTATCTTGAATAAAGTATTCGCTTTAAAAAATATTCATTTTACTTATGAAAGGTACTAACACTATCAGTTTTGTCATAAATGTGTCTAGATTGTTTTTCTTATAATTGAAAGTCTTACATATGAAAAGTCTACAGAGAAAAAGGTATGAAGTAACTTAATGGCAAACAGGCGCATACAGTTAGTATGACAAAATAAGTCGTCAAATGACTGATGTTACTTGTGGATTAAGCTTTTATCCCCATTTGGGTCATTTTCGACCCATTTGTAAAAACGATATAGTGGAGTAACAAAGTATCGGATCAGGGAGCTTGCTGAACATTATGCAGAAAATTTAGTAAGCTATAGATTAGTAAAAAATTAATTATCTTTCATCACTCATTGGCTAAGATACTTGAGTCTGAAAACGGTGAATTTTTTAAAAAAGTGAAAAAGCAGATTTATTTTTTTTTGTTTGTTTTTTCACTTGCAGAGATTGATTATATTTTTTGCGTTTGGGCGGCTGATATACACTGCTAAAGAGGTCATCGATTTGCAGTAAAGCTTTGAAAAATTTCTTTATTAGAGATGTGGGAGCAACATCCTTCAGGACAACATCTTTGACCCATTCGGAATAAGTGACATGAAAAATGATACTTTTCTGCGGCTATTTTGTTTATCGATATAAGCTTATAATTAGCAATATATTCATGCTAAGAAACGTTTAGTTGAACTAATAGCCATTTAATTCGCGCCGTTGACATAGTGCACTCGGAATGAACGAAAAAATATGTTTTTGACACTTCTGTGTCATCCATTGCTATGAGAATCAGACGTGTCTGATCTGACCCTCTGCAGGTCATATTTTTCTTGTAAAAACCAAGCTTTTACACCGAAAACAAACGTATATTGTTTCAAAATGTAAGTACATTTATATCTTAAAGTAACACAATTGTTTTATAGAGTATCATTCTAAAAAAATAAACAAACACATCTTCCATACACTGATATTGGTTTCTTGGTTTCCCTGTGTTGTTTTCACTGTAAACTTCGGTGTTGATAAAATTAGGCCTAGCATAAATCATTTTTCTTCATTTTTCAAAATAATTCATGATAGGAAGAGCTTTATACAGATCAAATAAACACCCAATTATAAAAACTATCAACAAAAACCAAATCAATAAAAAATTAAATTTCATGTCACTAGATGATCCATTCTGTACCTCCGCAGTGAAAGAACTTCGTTCAACTTTAACCCTTTACGGTCGGCTCCTAGAAAGAACTGACAGAAAAATTGTTCTGTTAGATATTTTTTACAATTGAACTTCCCAGATAATCATAGTTGAACTGGAGAAGCAGAGGAGAGAATTTTAAGAGAATGTCAAGATGTCCCCAAATGGGCACATCCGGCCGTAGTGGGTCAAACTATGTGGAAACGTTTTGTTCACTCTTTGAACATTCTGATCCGTCCTTCTTATTCATTTCTAAGACCAGTTCGAAAAAAAACCCATAAAAGTATAAGTATAGTCAAACAAGTAAAAAATAAGAGACAAAATCCTATGTTCAGTAATAAGTCTACAAAGATGTGATGTCATTGATGAAAAGCCATGAAGCAATTGTTTCTGGTGTTGAGACAAAGTCGTACTTTACATTTCGAACACAGTATCGTGGATTTACCACTACAGCCGGGAAAACGACAGCGCCCTTTACCCGTTGTGGTTGGCCAATGGTTGACGCCTTCACGTTGAACAACAATTGGTGGAAGCCGAATGGACGAACGATGTGGTTTTTCTGTTGAATTTTCTTCTTGAGATCGAATGTGTAGAGATGGTCGACCACGCTGTTTGGGCTGTGTGGAGATACTTGTTTTCAACAAGGCTTCAGCAACATCGATACGAAATTCCAATAAGGACCGAATTTCGTTTTTCGGTAATTACAGTTGAGAACATTGACAGCGGTAGAGTAACCAACCATTTACAACTGAAAGATCAATCAGGTGAAAGATAACTTTACATAATACTTTTTTGAACGAATACTGATTCGATACAGTGAAACTAGCATATCAAGCAGATCAACTCCACCTTTGAACTGATTGTAAGCCTTGACCACGTTCGGTCGTTTCACTTGTATATGTGCCTTCTTTTTGGACCACCTTTGCACTGTATCGATAGATTCACAACCGTATAACGTTGAAAGACAATTAACCACGTTGTTGTCGTACCATCGTGTGGCACATAACAAGACGTCATCAACGTAGGTGATTCGATGATCCACTGACCCTCGACCTTCCTTTGACAATTGTTTGGCTTCTTTCATCGCTACGTCCGGGAGTCGATTAGGTCGAACTGTGCCGGTACTAAAGATCCCTAATTTGTTCGATTCCACCTGCAGACGAATTGTCGTGTAATAATTGTCAGAATAAAACTTGTGGTTGATCATTCTAGGCACAGTTTCACTCAGATTGAGAACAATATCGATGCAAAATCCGAATTCTGATTCACTGGATTTACCGGTGTAGAAATTCCTTCGTTCTAATACTTCGTGAAAGAGAAGAAAATACTTCGTGTTCAAAATTCCTGCTAGCCGTCAATTGACGGCTATTTTTGACGGCTAGCGGGAAACAACCCACTCAACTTTGACAGTTGACAGATGAAATTGACAATTTCAACGATTCGATTCAGAACTACAGTCAAAGAATGGTTTATTGTCCAATGAAAAGCTATGTCAATAGATGACGCTAGGATACTAGACAAAAGAGCCTCATCACTTCTCGTGTCTCGTTTTTCTTACTGACACTAGTCGAAAACAACATCTCTCGAACCACTGGTATTTTCAGTTTCTTTTCAGATGATCATGTTTGAAATCTCTCTAGCTGTGTTGTCGGCGATACGTTCGAGATTTCATCTGTGCTAGAGAAATCGAGATTCAGAGTAGTCTTAGAGTACAATGAGGCTTCACTAGAATGTAATACAGCCTATCAAGTTGAATGTAAAGATCAATGAGAACTTCACAGACTTTTGATCCTCCACGGCCGGGAGTACCCAAAAGGGAACACTTTGAGTTTTTTGTTCATCTTTTTATCGAAAAAATTGGCGCAAATACCGGCATATAACACTCACTAAATGAGAAGATTTTTGCCATAAAAAGCTTGTGTCTTGTTTATCAGTAAATTGTGAAAAACCGATAACTATGGCTTTCTTCCTTTTCCATTGTAGTTAATTGGCTTTGTAGTTAATTGTTCTTTTCGATACGGCATGGTGCAATTATTTTGAACGAAAGGCGAAATGATTACGCCATACATATCCTTAATTATCATGGTATAAGACTGATTTTTAGTACTAGTTTGAACATGTTCTTAGATAAAATACTTTTTCAATGTGCCCATTTGGGCACATCCGACCGTAAAGGGTTAACCATACCATTATTATATTGAGCACCCACATAGCTCGGGCTTTTTGCACTGTAGTAAATGTGTTGCTTTGACATTATTAATGTGACTTTTGAGTTAAGTCAAAGTTAGTAAAAACGCTTTTTTCTTCTTTTATACAGTATACACTTGTTATTATCTATATTATGTCAGAAATTAGAAAAATTCTGTTTCACTAATTGATGCTATACTGATCTTTTAACTGTCAGAAAACTGTTGACCTTAGATAAATAATCGAAAAATAATATCTAAATGTCCAAACATGTCTGTTTATATCCATTCTTCACATGTATAACAACTCAGTAATCAGTGGAGTTTTTAAAGAGACAATCATCTAGTAGTTCATCCTCATACATTTTCAGTACATCCAATGCCAAATTTAATTTCATTCACTATTGAATAATACACCTTTGTACGCTTCAACGCACCTTTGCACGCTTCATCGCACATGTTAAAGGTGTACCCACGAATATTTTTGCAGAAATAATGATTTCTCAACTGAGATACTTGTAATAATAATTTCTCAGTTGAGAATACATTTTGTATCTCGCTTGAGTTCAAACCGTTTCATCGAAAAGTAATTTGAAACTGCCGACGACACACTGTTTAATGTGTTAGTTTTTTCTTGCTGTGGTTGCTAGTATTGTGTTAATAGTCTATTCATCTGTCTATTCTTTTTCTCTGCATTTCTTTTTTGTTCCGTTTCTCTTTTTATCTTCAGTCAGTTCTACAAGAAAAAAGCTTTCTAGACATCATTAAGAAGAACAGGCAAAAGTCGATACCTCACCGCTTTTTCTCTCATAGTTTTATTAAAAAGCAGACGAAAAGAAATATAGTCATTTTGCTCTTCTCTTTTTTTTTATTTATACTGTCATAACACACATTATTATCGACAGATTTAATAGTCATATTTATTAGTGGCAATAATTTCTTTTTTCCAGATGAATAAATCAATATACTTAATGTTTGTGATGTCTACATAGAACTGTGAAGGTCTACTTCGTTGAAAAAACACGAAATATCAATAATTATGGGTAATGATCAATCTGTTGGTATTGTTTGTCAATTTGACCGTTCTTACCCATTATATTTCACTGATGAAGTTCTATCAGGTGTAATACATTTACCGAAAAAGTTCAATCGAATCTATATTGAACTGGTTGGTGAAATTGGTTTTGTAACCAATGAAACAGTTACGAATAATACTGGTGAAACAAAAACCGTTAATACTAATAAATTTGAGCAATTTTTTCGTCAAACAGTTCCCTACGCTGAATGTCAGCAGACTCACAATGGTCAAGTTGATATACCATTTAAAGCCGTATTGCCAGCACATTTACCACCATCATTAAATTATCCAAAAGTTTATCCTAACGTTCAATATCATCTACAAGTCGTTTATGATGAATCAGCATCAACAACAAATAAATTCCAATCATTTTATTTCATCGTATTACCACAAGTAAATTTGTTATCCAAGCCAAATTTATTGGTTCCATCTGAATTTAGTAATAACAACAGAAAAAATGTATCGTTAAAATGTAAAATGAATAAATTAGGTTATTTACCGGGTGACATCATTGAAGCCACATTAGATATTCATAATCCAGAAATGATTAAAATACATAAGGTTACAATAAAATTAACTGAAATCAATGAAATTAATTCGGCTGAGCGAAAACATGAAGTGCTGACATACATTGTACCAGAAATAAATGAAACAAAAGATGAAAACATGTCTGCTCAATTGTCAATGCAAATACCTCAAGATGGTTATGATCATCGATCATCAACAACAGATAATTCATTGGCTGTGAAGTATTTGGCACCAAGTTATCATTTTGAAGGTGGTATTAATCAACTAATTCGCATAACAAATAAATTTACATTGAAAATTGATGTTGGATGTTCGGGACTTTTTACAGATTTTGAACTTTCGATACCGGTAACAATTGGAACGGAATCCGATAATAACTAATGGTTGCTTTTTGTAATATTTTTAACCTGCTTAGTACTAGCCGTACTCTCTACTGCATAATATACACAAATTACTGCTTTGAAATCACATACTGTGTGCACATATTTATTTATTCATATTTATTACTTGGTTTTAGCACGAATTTTATTATCAATGACCGTTATACTTACCTTTATTTTGTATAATACAAAGAAACTACCATGTTTTCTGTTTCTCATTATACATGTATTTTTCCCATTAGATCGTCTTTGTACGACCAAGATGCGTCGGGTAATACAACACCCGATGTCACTCTTGAAACAGAGACTGGACGAAGAAATGATCGAAGATAACATCTAGGTCATTTTTCTGAGAAAAGGAATAAATGATGCAAAAATAAAATGAAACAAGAGAGCAAGTGTACTAACAAAGTAAAAGAACAATCGGGTCAGTCGATGGAGGTTATTTGTCTTGAAATATAGATAATATAACGACCGATTGATCAGAAATAAGAAAATAGTACCTCGGCATGTGTATATATATATTTATATATAAATAGCATCCTACCATTCTCATTATGTTACTTCTCGAGTTCAGGTCACATAGATCAGGACAGAAAAGTGACATAGCCACAATATCTTCGAGTACATTAAATTCCAACAGAAGAATATTGGAAACATCTGATGAGACCGTTGACCATCGGTCGAAACGCGTCATGGCAGTTCGAACCAAATCCGTCCTGTCTCACCGAGAACCGGAAGATATGGCTTTTCTTCTCCACTGAAGAGAGGTATATTAAGATCATTGTGTCTCCGTAGGTAATAAAAGTCAAAAAAATTGCCTTCCCGTTAAAATTGAAGTTCCATTGTGAAACTTTATGCCCCCTGGATAATGGAGAGAAACTACCATGTTTTCTGTTTCTCATTATACAAGTAAACTAGATTCAAAACAACATTTTTTATGTCTTTTTGCACTATAGTAAATGTGTCAGAAAACTGTTGACTTTAGATAAATAATCGAAAAATAATATCTAAATGTCCAAACGTGTCTGTTTGTATCCATTCTTCAGGTGTATAACGACTCAGTAAACAGTGCAGTTTTAAAAGAGACAATCATCTAGTAGTAGTAATACTAGTAGTTCATCGTCATACATTTTCAGTACATCCAATGCCAAATTTAATTTCATTCACTATTGAATAATACACCTTTGTACGCTTCAACGCACCTTTGCACGCTTCATCGCACATGTTAAAGGTGTACCCACGAATATTTTTGCAGAAATAATGATTTCTCAACTGAGATACTTGTAATAATAATTTCTCAGTTGAGAATACATTTTGTATCTCGCTTGAGTTCAAACCGTTTCATCGAAAAGTAATTTGAAACTGCCGACGACACACTGTTTAATGTGTTAGTTTTTTCTTGCTGTAGTTGCTAGTATCGTGTTAATAGTCTATTCATCTCTCTATTCTGTCTTTATTCTTTTTCTCTGCAATTTCTTTTTTGTTCTGTTTTCTTTTTTTATCTTCAGTCAGTTCTATAAGAATAAAGCTTTCTAGACATCATTAGGAAGAACAGGCGAAAGTCGATACCTCACCGCTTTTTCTCTCATAGTTTTATTAAAAACAGACGAAAAGAAATATAGTCATTTTGCTCTTCTCTTTTTTTTATTTATACTGTCATAACACACATTATTATCGACAGATTTAATAGTCATATTTATTAGTGGCAATAATTTCTTTTTTCCAGATGAATAAATCAATATATTGGCAAAAATCAAATTTGGCACGCTCGATAACCTAGAAAACAGTATTTTTATCGCACAAAACGCATAAGCGCGGAAACGCGTTTTCCGTGGTGTAGTTTTAAGTTTTAGTGTTTCAAAACCCGCTCAAAACCTCCTCTAAAACCTTGAAAAACAGTTTTACGTGGGTTTCACGATATGCTCTTTCATATTCACGGATCAAAATTTTTTTTTATTGCAAATGGTTTTTCGACCCCAAAACCCAGTATTTCAAAAACCGGACCTTTAAACTAAAATTGGGTCCAAACCAATGTAATATTTGGAATCAGGACACTCGATTACCTATTGTCCACTAATTTTCGGGCCCAAAACTTCTAGACAGTTGGGGGCCTTCCCTCGTGAGATGTCTCTAAGTTGTTAGACGTCTGTTTCTGCAGAGAAATGTTTGCTCTACAAAGCCCAATGGTTGGAAAAAGTTTTACAGTTAATTATGTCAAAAGTACATTTCACCAAAAGTAGTTGAACTGTTGGAACAGTTCCGGTGTTTCATTATTCATGTATTTTTGATACAGCTAACTGTAAACGTTTTTAAACCATCGAGTTTTGTGGAGCGAACATTTTTGTACAAAATGAGACGTTTCACAATTTAGTGAGATTCTTAATAGCCTAGTTATCAAAGTTATCCCAGATGCCCTAACACCAGTTCTAGAACCGGTACATATCTAACCTGTAGTCATAGGATGCCAGTCGTGGGGTGCTTTTATAGACCCGTCCAGCATTACATGACCTCCGAGTAGCGAAGGTTTCATTATCGGCATCATGTAGAACATAAACAGTTGACTCGACTTTATAAAAAGATTCGTCCATTTTATTTTAAGATGTTTACTAAGTAATTGTAATGTATACTGTCATTGCATTACTCATACGGACTATAAAAATTCCTCCAGCATTCTAATTGCGACTAAAGACAAGATGGATGAACGATACATGTCGCTGGTTGCGAATTGGTTGGCTGCATCAATTTTAGAATAAAATATTGAACCATAAACCACTTACTTCATGGGTGGATCTAATACCACTTCCACAAGTAGTGGAAGTAGTATCCTGACTTATTGCTGCATTCTTTCCTACCGGAAATTCTAACTTTGAGTAAAAAAGTGTTTTTCATTATTTATACATGATTGGATACAGCACATCGAACTGTAAGAAAAACTGGTTTTGGATTTTGAAAATGATTTTTTCAGATTGAAAAATACGAAAAACTTAGAAGGGTCAATTTTTTCGAAAAATGAATCATTTTCAAAACAGCAAAACTTCCCAATTTACGGACATCTGCAACTTGATTAGTAACATGAAATACTGATGTATATTTTAAATTATATCCAATTACTAAGTCACCAATGCAAACTTGATGAAATGTTGGATTTAATTTATCGATATCCTTCTCAATTTTTCAAAAAGTTTCCCACCGTTTTTCATGAAAGCGCATGGATGGTCTATGATCCATGATGGATCAAGTGCAGCAGTCAGTGCCGATCATGAATCTGACACTGCAAATCGAAAAGATGCCATTTATATACATATGTGATACATCGTTGAAAACGTTTCATATTTACGTTATAATGCAGAAAAGTTGGGAATACGACCAGAATTCTGAAAAAATCATGTTTTCAGCTTACCATTTTTTCCACTGTAACCAGGCGAAAGGGTGAAACAATGTAAAATTTATGTCGAATATTCAACTTTACTCTCCATCGAATGATCATAGTTTGAAAAGAAGAAAGATATCACTTTTTCGGCATATTACGGATGTGACTACCTATCATAGTTTTAGAGATGATAACACTGAGAATTGATTAAAACTCAATGATTTCTATTCCAATTTTCAACAAATACACATTTCGGGTCGAGCAAAGCATAGCTATAAATAAATTCTGCATTCGGTCTAGGTGGCTGGGCGACTAAGTTATATTGACAAGAACTTACACAATAGATCTACCTACACAACTTTGTTATTACCTGTGATAAATGACGCTTTATTCGAATTGTTTTAGTACCATTCGCATCCTTGTTTAATTCCTGGAAGAGTTATCTCTCAGGATTTCCTTTATAAATGAATTAAACTCAGCAGTTCTACTCCGGACTACATATCATATTTTGTTGACAACTTTCGTCAAGAAAAAATTGATCATGCCGTCCGATCGGCTCCAATGTCATCTGCGTGAACAAATAATCAAAAATCGGCCACGTGGGCTAAAAAACTCGCCAGTTATAAGTGCTACGCGATTTGTTGTAGAATGTGTGAATGGTCGCGTGACACACTACAGACTTTTGGATAAAGTTCAAGCAGCGTTCAATTTTTTGAAAATGTTCATGACTAATTATGTATCATTTGTTTCTGGTAAATGCATATCATCCTCGTTTTATAACAGATATGTGCAGGGACGATGAACTTGCAAAAAAGATGTTAAAATGTGGAAATAAGAAAATAAGCTTACGGAAAAACTAGCTGATCAAAATCTGAAAAGGTCTGAAATTGGTTAAAAATTAATGTAAAAGGTGCAATCTCACAGATAAATGAGCAAAAGATATTTGAAATAACCCTAGACGTCTTCTCTGCTTGTACGCTTCAGCAGTCACAATGGAAAAGTTCTAAGTCTAAACAGTGTGGATTGTTTGATGAAAATCATTCCACTTCTTCATGAACAAAAGTGATGCCATCTGCTTATGTAATCTCGAGCCAAGCCAATATTGACTTGAAAAAACCTCTCTAAGAGGCATTTGCAAAACATATCAACTCATTAAACCGTAAAAATTTGGAATTTGGAAAAAATGCACTTTCATTTTTGTCTAAGTGTCACGATCGTTGCCCGCTATGTGTTTATTACACTGTTCATTTTTCAAAAATCAGTGATTATTTGCGGTGTATCACAAAAATTTAAAACAAGAAGATGTTTTCATGGTATTCAGAAAGTTTGGTAAAGAGACGTCCGATAAATACAAATTGCTTATATTTATATTTATTATGAAAATGTCGCTGGGTATAGATAAAGATTCGAACGAAAACCATGATAACTCCGAATAATGACCCTGTTTCTTTTTCTACAAAGTTTTTACCGCTAACCTCACATCGGTATTTAAAAAATATTTTAGACATATCTAGACCAGAATTTGATGTTCTCTTGAATGAAACATGTCTTCAAAATCGCAATAGAACTCGCACATAAAGTGATCGAACAAAACTTGAAAAATATGAAAATGTGGTACAAACCGACATAGCTTTAGATTCAGAATATTTGAGGAAGACTATTCTTAATGATTGTGCTTTTTTCCGTACTTTTTGATCTCGCGTTGATTTCAACAAGACCTTAAAAATTCACTTGAATTAACAGAAACAAACAACCATAAGTTACAGCCTGTATACCCCTCACTGATTCTAATTACAGCAGCTTCTATAACGGCGGATAAATATGGAGTGAAACATGGATGCTTGTAGATTGTTTATATGTTTCGCAGCACTTTCGTCATTATGTGACGTTGAACTTTCGTCACACGACGAAAGTTCTGTTTTCAGTGACGAAAATTTACCCTGCATGTGACAAAAGTTCTTTGGGTATACAACGAAAGTTGCAAACTGGAGTAGTCCAAACTGCAGTAATGCAAAATGTAGCAGTGTAAATTGGAGTAATAACTTCTTGCTTTTTTCTTTAGAAACATCGTATTTCCTTAGCGACACGCGTAAAACCCTTTTGAAGTCTTTTTCTAAAATCAAAGTATCAAAATCAGGCGTCTGTTGCGTTTGGGAGTAGTCCGGTCTAGGGTGGTCTGCACTGCAGCAGTCCAGTGGTTCTTTCTGGCTTGTGACAAAAGTTCGTGATGCGGTGTGACGAAAGTTGTAGGTATGTTACAAAGTTGGTTACGAAAGTTCACTACTCTTGTGACTGCCCAAAGCGTGGGGTGGTACTGAGGATGTTGCAACTTGTCACGATTTTTTGACAGGGCTTTCGGAAATTATGGTCTATTACGGAATCCCTGATTTAGTCAATTATAGAGGTTTCGTAATGAAATTTACAGAGTTGTCACAACCACTTATACAGGGTTATCGCACTATACTTTACTGCAGAATATGAGTGACAATACAGAGCTGTCGTACCGGAAAATACACGGCTATGGTAACGAAGCAAATCAGGCTTATCGCAAAAAGAATGTTTGTATAAATTATTTTTTGTGAGATGACTAGGTACCATCTATCCAGAACGTTCGCTACTTTCCTTCTATCCTGTCTAGTTTACGATTAAACGTACATTACTCATGCCTTTACTTTTTTTGTTCATACAGATAAATGTGTATTGATTTTTCAAGAACACATAAATTAGTGTTTATTTTCTTTTTGTTGTTGTTTGAATGTGTTATTCAATATATGTTCATTGTCTGTGCACTAGTCAAAAGCGACAGCCCTGATTTAACACTTACTTCTCCTTTGAAATACACCGTGAGAAATCCTATATTAGCTGTTACCACAGCCTTGTAAAATTCATTACGAAACCTGTGTAATTTCTGGACTTAAAGTCCAGCTAACACATCACTCATTACGAAAACCTTGCAACTAATTACGAAACCCATGTATTAGCGGTTACGATAGCCCTGTTTTTTGTCCCTCTCCCAATTTTGCTGGTTACGAAACCCCTGATTTTTTCGGCTACGATAACCCGAATCGTGACAGTTGCAACATTTTCGTGATACTCCCCTAAAAATACCAACCACTTTCGTCACGTATGACGAAGGTTCTTTTTTCTATGTGATTAATGTGACAAAAATATCATCACCCGTTTATATATTTATTCTTGAAAAATGATGCAAAGCTACAATAACAAAACAACAATCAAAACGACGAAATAAGAAAATTAAACCTCAAAAATGCATACTAGAGCCATCGATCAGATTTGTTTTAAGGATTGTCTTGAACCCGAACGAAATCAAGAATACATAAGTTCCATTACAAAAGTATGTACCTTACACTACCGAAACACAAAAAAACAACAGCTCTTGTTCTAGATTAGAGTCGAAAAAATGAACTTGAGCCTTGCAGTTAGGCTGCAAAAAAACAAAATTAAATTATACAATCTTCTATCACTGTACAGCAGTTACACTTGAACGAGTGCTTTTAACTTTGCAGTATATTGTAAATCTAAGTTTGTACACTCGAGTGTGTATTTCCGTAGGACTGATTTTGTGTTTTTCGATAGTTTAAATTTAAGATTGTATTATATAAGTTTAAAACTATAATAGATTGTTTGTATACTGGAAGAATAAAGTTAACTGAACAGTAAAGGAAGAATATTGTTTGTTCATGGCATCCAAATAATCGTAATCAAGTAAAGTTGCAAAGAAAAATGCTATTATCGTATAACATGAGATGAGCGCGAAGAGACTATTATCGACATTTTATAAGAAGGCTATCCAGCAGAATGCTTATAACTTTTTAACGAAGATAGCTGGCGACCTGCGGTCCCTCACCCTCAGAAGACCAGGGGACGTAAATGTGTAGAAAATTTGATCGGTCCCGTAATTGACCAATCAGATGAGTGCTTGGTAGACATTTTGAAATCGGTATTCTGAAGACATTTCCCATTTGCTTTTAGCTTGTAATATCACCACTCGATAGAGAAATGTTTTCTCTTTCAATCTACACAAGGCTGACCTTCCTAGCTTGTTTCATTCAGGAGCTACAAGCGTTTTCCTAGGAGCCCCGATTTCGACTATTTGACCTTGAATCACCGCAAAACAGGTCGACATGGTGGTAATCGCTGATATGGAACTTCAGCTGAGTCGAGTGGCAATGTTTATTTTCAGTTTCAAAGCAAGATAAAGTCATTATATTAAGATTTTTAAAAAATCAACTTTTTCCTACTAAATGGTGTGCGAAGTGGATATTTCGAAAATCAGGTCGCCAGCTATCTTCGTTAAAAAGTTATAAGCATTCTGCTGGATAGCCTTCTTATAAAATGTCGATAATAGTCTCTTCGCGCTCATCTAATGTTATACGATAAACCATTGAGCCCTGTTTAGTGCACAAACTGTTTTACAAACCATGCATGAGAGTTGTACCTGTCTCTCGCGAGAGGAATCCACTTTCCTTGTGAAGTGTTTACATTTACATACGAGACTCCTGCAGAGTAGGGCCAGCTTAATACATCTGATGCATAATATATATTCTCAGCCACATCATATGCCGAAAGCGAAGTAACTACAAGACTTGGATCGTCAGAAATTGTTCCAACAACTTTGCTAATGCCTCCTAACGTTCTGTTTATAATTCCAACGAGAGAACTGATATCGTCGGTGTGATTGATGTACGCCGTGTACATCGTAAATGTCTTGTAATCGAATCGCATACTAACAGGAGTGAAATTCATTACTGCTTCCCAACTGATACCACCACCATCACTAGTATTAACTGCAAGATATACGAAATCTTGATCCTGCAACACTATTAGAAAATACTTTCTACAAATAGGACAATAACTAGATATATGAGTTGGTTTGGCTCCACGAATCGCTCCCAAAATCTGCTTAACATTTCCACTAGCTGTGTCAATTTCTACAACTTGTGTCACATTTTCACTATCAGTTTCCGTGTGTGCAAACAATTGTTTCTGAAAAATGTCATATTGAAGAGAAACAATGGTATTTGGAATTGAACTAAAATTGGATAAAAGAGCACCACTTGTAGCATTGATTACACTTAATATTGTTCTATTCTGATTATTCGGGGCTGCCATGTATGCAACATCATTATTTGGATCATAAGTGAATGGCGTGACAGGATATTTTCCCTTACTGGGATCTCCAACATCGTTGATACTTAATGAGTTGAAAATGTTAAACTGTGGAATATCTAGATCGAGAGATCCATAAAAAACGTGAGTTTGATCAGAATTATCAAATAAACCATGAACCAAATGTGTCGGTTCTTGCCGTGCTTCAGAAATCGATGTTGCCACGAGTATGATGATGGTGATAAGGAATGATCTCATTATTGTTAAATGATACCGCATCTGATTTTTCAAACTATTTAGTTATGGAGTATAATTTCTACACTTTGTTCGGAAATATATGTGACTCAACTTTTATAAAATAATCTTTCGTTCTGTATATTGTAAATGTAGATAGTGTCTCATAATGATTCCTTGTTTGTATTATAAACCTTAGAGTTATTATCTATTTTTTCTTTCTTCTTGCATACATGATAAGAACTACTTGACTTATTTTCTATATTAAAATTTCTTTTCTCCATGTCAAAATACGAACAATGTGCTACAAATATTACTTTGCATCGCAAAGTGTTTCGATGAAGAGAACGAAAAATAATAATTTAGAGTAATGATGACTTTGTGTGCTCTAGTCGAATAGAATACACGATCAGCGCAGACAAAGCAAATTTATATGTGTCTCACAACTGCGCTAGAATTAGTTCATAGGTGTATGCTACCGTAAATTATGAAAATAATAATACAAATCGAATTTACATTTGGAACTTCCTCAATAGTTCTGTACACTATATAAGATGCCTGTTATATTGGGAATTAACTATTGTTGTCTTTGGAAAAAGTATCGACAAAGAGCAAAGTGAATATTATTAAACAGCCTTAGACACTCTCTCTCTCTGTTCCTCTTCCACTAACAATTTTTCTATTTTCGTCTATAACATGCAAGGGTTTCAGAAACATAATGATTCTCTACGTCTCCTTGTTCGTTAGCTACATAATCACAATGTTGTTGTTTGTCAGCTGAAATATGAGTCATAAAATAATCCCGACACTTGTGTGTTGCAAAAGCTTGCGGATCATCGCATTTGGATTTCGTTCAGAACCAGTAGCTACACCACTGTTCGCAACTATACCAAACATATAGCTAAAAGAAAGACAGTATTAGCATTAACAACGATATAGAAAAACCATTTTTGACTAATACACAAACAAAACGAAGAGAAGAAAAAAATTCAGTTACTATAAAATATCACTTTTTGACAAAAATCAAATTCATTTTTGGCTACCAAGAAACAAAAAAACAACACACAGAGAGAAACGAATATGTATTTCTGATTTACGAGCGAAAATTAACTTCAGTCATTACACTTTCAGTTTGTATTTAAAAAAACCTACGAATATTCTTTTGTATGAGTTGTCAAACAGATGTTAAAAAGAAATAGCAGGTGATAAGAACGTATTCATACACGAGAGAGGTTAGTGTTGGTTAAATACCAATGCCGCTCTCTTCTAATTTACAATGGACTCACATGTTTGTTTTCGTCGGATTCGCCCACCACACTCATTTTCTGCCGCAAAAAGTATGCGTATTTATTGTCATGCAAAGTCCAGCTTCTTTCCATCGGTAAAGAAATGTGAGTAACTTAGTGAATAATTTTTCAGTGGAAAACTCATCACATATAGTAATTACTTGATATCTATAAATTTGATTTAATATGAAAAAGTCGTAAGAGATAGAATGTGTGCGAATTGACAAGTGATTGTTAATAGCAACCTGAGTGTTCATTTTGTGAAGAAATATTTATTTAATAAACTGTAAACTGTAAAGTTTGGAGAGCTTTCGAATCAATAACAATTCTTCTTCTAGTACAGAAAATTTTTGATAATTTACAGAATTAACAAGAGAATTGTGCAGAAACGATTCCCAGTTAAACTGTTCTACTGGTAATTCTGTCACTCCGTTGTTTTCCTTATCACATACATATGAAAACGACAGTTAAAGCATATGACTAGAAATTCTACTCTTTTCTTTGCTTTTCTTATCGTATACAGAAGAGCATGATATAGATTTTTGATAAAGTAAACAAATGAGAGTGAAGAAACAAAATGACCTGAACAACTTAAACGTATGAAATACAAAACTCGAGTTGATACAATTTGAACTTAGTTTAATTTTACAACCACTTATTAGTTACTAGAGACTCACACAGAACTCATTTCTGGAAGAATCAAAAGAAGATATCACGACGGTTTCCGCTCTTCTCAAGGATCTCGTTAGGTGGTTTCCAGAAAGACAGACTTAAGGCACGGCAAGACAAACTCAATCCGCACCGTATGAGGATGTTACTACTCCTATCCAATATTATTGTATACCCACGCATATTGGGACCAATGATATTGGTCACTCAATAATATTGTACAATAATACTGGGTAATATTGGATTCCAACTTTTCACCCTTAATATTGTTCACTGTCATAAAGACGTGAGGAAGCATATCCCGGTCGCAATATATATCCCAATTGGATTATAAAAACGTATCCCGATCGGGATTAGACATGCACCGATTAATAAATGATATTAGGGCATTCAGCAAAGTCGTTCCGCATCAGTTATATAAAAGCACTTAGAGTTGTCGAATGTCTCATTTTGTAGGAAAATATTTGCTCTACCAAACTGAAGTGCAAAAAGACATTTTAATGTTATCTGTGACAGAAATATAAGCATCCAAAAGTGAGCAAAATTACGAAAAACTAAGCAACTATCAATTATTTTTCTACGTTTTCTGTGCGTTTTCGATTTATTATATTTTCTCTGTATATAGCATTAAAATTCTTCTAGCACTTCAGTTTGGTAGAGCAAACATTTTCCTACAAAATGAGACATTCGGCAGCTCTAAGTGCTTTTATATCACTGATGCGGAAAGACTTTGCTGAATGCCCTAATATCGCTTACTAATCGATGTATGCCTAACTAGTTATATTTTGATTCAAAACGAGATATAACGCTTAATAATTAAAATTAAAATTTTTTCCTGTCTTTGTCTGTGTGAGAAAGTGAGTTGACGTGGGTATGTGAATGTAAAAACTTAACGGCAGTGGAGTGCGAAGGCTTCAGAAAAAACGTCCATACCTCTCGAACCATGGATTTCCAAGATGTATTTTAGATACAGTTTTATCGAGGACACTTCAGACTATATATCTATGAAAAAATCAATAGATTTTTATGTCTGTTTCCAGAGAATCGAACTGGTTTTCCACAGATCTCCTGAAAAATGGATCTTCAAAATTTTGCAAAAAATGAAGAAAAGAACAAATTTTATCGTTTTACCCAAAAGAAAGATTCTCTTCACTATGAAATTAGTGTTTATTCTAGCAACTTCCGAGATTAAAACATTAACAAATTTGACAGTACCCTTCCCCAGCTTTTC